TCACACGCTATATCACGCCGTGCGACAAACGTCATGTCTCATGGTCCATCTGGAATTTCTGGATCTCGTTGTTCTGCCATCGTGTTCTCGAGTCAAAGATGCAATGGTTTTATGGATCTACTGCATCTTTATATAGTCATTGGATCAAAAGCGGCATGGAATCGGCGATCTCGACATTTTCCAATGCGTGACAGAGCTTAACAGAGCGTAACAATGCACAACAGAGTTTTGCAATCGTAAGCCTTTTTTGCAAGCCTGATTTAAAGCGTCATAATCGCATCAAAGCGTAATAATGCTTATCAAAGCTTTTCAAAGCGTGATTTAAAGCGTAACAAAGCCTGATCAAAGCGGGATCAAAGCGTGAGGAACCTTTTAGAGCTATGTTAAGCTTTCCTACGCTTTGGATCAAGCTTTTCTGAGCTTTGTTACGGTTTGTTAAGCTTTGATACGCTCTCGGCGCTTAATCGATTCGTAACAGAGCGCCCAAAATTTTTTAAGAGTTTAAAATTTTTTGGCGCTCTTGCCGAATATCCCGCTTTACTCTGAGCTTTTCTACGACCTATCACGACCCCGACGCTTTAATCAAACTTTGTTACGCTTTGGTGCCGCTTTACAAGCCGCTTTAAAGCGCCATCAAAGCGCCGTTGGTATGAAGAAAAATGACAAAAATGACGGCGCTTTGCTCGCCGATTTAAAGCGTGGCATTCGCCGTTGGTGTGAACGTACCTTTAACTAGAAGATATTGAGTCAAGTCTTATATATGGTCCATTTAGGTCCTAGATCTAGTTTCTCGGAAATTGGGTCAAATTTTTATCTAGGTCAAAGGTCAAGAACTAGGTCAAATCTTACATTTTCAACATTCTGTCATTTATCTTCGTCGTTGTTTTTCGTAACTCCTAAATCTTTTTTTCATCATGTAGCTTAGAAACAGCTCTTTCATAGTGTGCCATCCGTTTATTGATTACTCTTACCGATTTTGAAATATAGCGTCCAGAAAGTAGGTCAAAATAACGAGTTATCCAAATTTAACATCTGAGTTATGAATTAAGAGTAAAATTTACTCAGGAATCCGAATCTGCAAACCAAATTTCTATCCTTCCTATCCTATACTATTCTATCTTTTCTTCCTATTCTGTCCTATCCTTCCTATCCTATGAATTCATCCATCAATCCATCCATCCATCGGCTTATTCTGGATGACTCGGCTTATTCTGGATGACTTGGCTATTTTGGATGACTCGACTATAATATCCATCCGACCTTTCCTATCTAATCCTATCCTTCTTTCCTATCCTTCATATCCTTCCTTCCTATCCTATCCTACCCTTCCTATTCTGTCCTTCTTATTCTTTCTTCGGATTCTATCGTATACTATTCTATTCTTCCTATCCTATCCTTCCTATTCTATCCTATCCTTCCTCCCTATTCTGCCCAATCCTTCCTATCCTATCAATCCATCCATCCATCGGCTTATTATGGATGACTCGGCTTATTCTGGATGACTCAGCTTATTCTGGATGACTTGGCTTATTCTGGAATACTCGGCTATATCCATCCCACCTATCCTATCCAATCCTATCCTTCTTTCCTATCCTTCCTATCCTATCCTATCCTTTCTATTCTGTCCTATCTTATTCTTTCTTCGGATTCTATCGTATCCTATTCTATCCTTCATACCCTATACTATCCTATCCTTTCTTCCTATTCTATCCTATCCTTCCTTCCTATTCTGTCCTATCCTTCCTCCTATCAATCCATCCATTCATCCATCAGTCCAGCCATCCACCTGCTTATTCTGCATGACTCGGCTTATGCTGGATGACTCAGCTTATTCTGGATGGTTTGGCTTATTCTGGATGACTCGGCTTATTGTGGATGACTCAGCTTAAAAAGTCTAAATATGGAGTCTGAAATCGAACTTGTTCAATTTCCAAAGTATAGTTATTATTAGACTCCAGATTGAAAATCTGGAGTCTATTGTTTTTGCCAGTATTCTTATTCTTATTCTTATTATTATTCTTCTTCGGGAGTTTTTTCAGTAACTATGGGGTATCCAGTAAAGACCATAATACAGTTTATTTAGGTTCAGTATCTAGTTGGTGGGAAATTGGGTCAAATTTTTATCTAGGTCAAAGGTCAAGAAATAGGTCAAATCCAGTACTTTGTCACTTTTTTCGATTTTCTCGGTTGTCCTTCAATATTTTCGATCCGGTTTTTTTTCATTGTGTTCCTTATAAAAAAGTAGGAAACCTAGGGTCGATTTAGTTTTTTGATATCTCAAACCGATTTCGAGATATCAGTGTCCGAAAACGAGGTCCAAAAAAAGTTCTCCGAATCAATTGTCCAGGATGTTAGTCTTATAGAAAGTTTTCTCAGGATTCCGAATCTGAAAACGAAATTTAGATCAGACTTCCGGTTCTGAAGTTTTGGCGTTTTGAAAACTCAAAAATCGCTAAATTTTGAGCCCATGTTAAGTCAATGGGAAAAAAGATTTTTTTGAAGTGAAAAATACGAAATATAGACTAAGTTCAGTTAAATATAATGAAAGCTTTTAAAAGAATGGGACCTCAAAAGCCATCTAGCTTTAAAATTTGGACACCAAAATGCCTAGGTCAAAATCTAAGTCAAATTCAAAGTTTTTTCTTATTTTTGCGATTCTGACACTACACTTTAATTATAATCTTCAAAATTGTGTATACATGTAGCCAAGAGTGTGCTAATAGTGTTAGCTTTTTGCCGTCAGAAAGTATTTTGACCCACTTTTGAGATATGGTATCCGAAAAGTAGGTCAAAATAAAAAGTTCTCCAAATTTAACGTTTGAGTTATGAATTAAGAATAAAATTTTCTCAGAAATCCGAATCTGCAAACTAAATTTCGATCCGACTTCCGGTTCCGAAGTTATGGCGTGTCCAAAAAGTAGGTCAAAATAAAAATTCGCCAAATTTAATGTATGAGTTATGAATTAGGGGTAGAATTTTGTCAGGAATCCGAATCTTTAAATCAAATTTAGATCCGACTTCTGGTTAGGAAGTTATGGCGTTTTGAAATTTCGGAAATTCGATCTGATGGTATCCTGATAGAAAGTCAAGGGTAGAGAAGAAAATATTGAAAAATTCATCCATCCTTCCTATCTGATCCTACCCTATCCTATCCTTCCTTCGTATCCTTTCCTTCCTATCCTTCTTATCCTCTCCTATCATATCCTTTCTTCCTATTCTGTTCTATCCTATCCTTCTTTCTTATTCTATCCTATCGTTCCTTCCCATTCTATCCTATCCTACCTTCCTGTTTTATCCATCCATCTTATTCTGGATGACTCAGCTTATTCTGGATGACTCGGCTTATTTTAGATGACTGGGCTTAAAAAAGTCTGGATCTGGAGTCTGAAATTGAACTTCGTTCAATTTCCCAAGTCTAGTTATTTAATCTTTATTTATTTAAAAATTAAAAAATGTGACAGCTATCAATGCATTTTCCTGAAATTAATTAGTGTGACAATTTCCCAAAAGATTGCCAAAGCTATCTGTATACTTTGTTGCCAGTTAATTACTATTTTTGAGTGATATAATGGTAATTATCCCACCGAACGAAGTTCGAGGGGGATATAGAGAAGCCGTCCGTTTGTCCGTCCGTCCGTCCGTGTGTCCGGGCGATAACTCCAATACCGGTTGACGGATTTGGTTCAAATTTTATAGGCTTATGCCTTATGAGTGTAGGACCTCTGCTCGAGAAGGAATTTTCAATATGGCTGCTCAATTCAAAATGGCCGCCATTTTTCGTTAAAATGTAATCGTTGATAACTCAAATACAAGTTGACGGATTTGGTTCAAATTTTATATGCTGATGCCTAGGGACAAAGGAATTTTGCCCAAAAAGAGATTTTCAAGATGGCCGCATAATTACAAAATGGCGGCCATTTTTCTTAAAAATATGTAATCTTTGATAACTCAAATACCAGTGAACGGATTTTGTTCGAATTTTATATGGTGATGCTTAGGGACACAGTTGCTATGTTCGACAAAAATTTTTCAAGATGGCCGCTTAATTCGAAAATGGCGGCAATTTTTCGTAAAAACGTAATCTTCGATAACTCAAATACCAGTGAACAGATTTGGTTGAAATTTAATATGATTATGCCTAGGGACACAGTAGCTCTGTTCAATAAATAATTTACAAGATGGCGGCTGAATTTCAAGATGGCGGCCAATTTTCGTAAAAAACGTAATCTTTGATAACTCATATACCAGTGAACGGATTTGGTTCAAATTTTATATGATGATGCCTAGGGACACAGTTGCTATGTTCGACAAAGAATTTTCAAGATGTCCGCTTTATTTTAAAATGACGGCAATTTTTCGTTAAAAAAACATAATCTTTGATAACTCAAATACCAGTGAACGGATTTGGTTCAAATTTTATATGATGATGGCTAGGGACACAATTGCTTTGTTCAAAAATGAATTTTCAATATGGCCACTGAATTTCAAAATGGTGGCCATTTTTCGTAAAAAAACATGAAATTTTGATAACTCTAATACCAGCGAAGACAGTAGGGACACAGTAGCTCTGTTCGAGGAAGAATTTTCAAAATGTCAGCTGATTTTCAAAATGGTTGCCATTTTTCTTAATTCAGATTTTTATATGCTGATACCTAGGGACACTATAGCTCTGTTCGAGAAAGATTTTCAAAATGACTGCAGAATTAGCCGCCATTTTTAGTAAAAAAGAATGTTATCTTTGATAACTCAAATTTTAATTTATGGATATGGTTTACATTTTATATGTTGATGCTTAGGGACAAACAAGCTCTGCTCAAGAAGGAATTTTCAAGATGGCCACTAATAATCTAAATATGTTTTGTTCGGTGGGATTTGCTACTCCGTGGAGTTGCTGTTTTTCTAGTTGGTATTCTGGAAAGTAAATCATATCCTGGATGATTGCGTCTAACAGCCAAGAAATTGATATGTATTTGCTGTTCATATTGAAATTCTTATACTAGGTTCAACGCCTTATACTGGGATGAAAGGCAAAGAGGTCATGGAATTTGTGAAAGCTGGGAATGTGATGGACAGGCCACAACATTGTAAAGTAACACTGTAAGTTTTCATTAGGAACTTCTAATATTCTTACTCAGATCTGCCTGTGATAAAGTATCAGAAAATAAAACCAACACTTGAATAATTATATAAAATATAAATTACACAAAATAAGTTATAAAGGTATTAAAGAATTGCAAAGGCAAGGGTAATTAGTAGATGTCCATGTTGATTTTGAAAAATGAACCAATGTGACTTGGAACTGGGAAAAATTCACATTAAATACTGTGGATATGCATTATTGAATTTTTTCATCATTTTTTAATATTAAATATTTTGTATACATTAACTATTTTCAATTGGTTATTTATACCACAACTTTCTAACTTGCAGATATAATGTGATGGCAGAATGTTGGAGCCATGATGCGGGTAGACGACCAACATTCTCAGATCTCGTGTCCAAAATGGAGAACATCTTACAGGAAGAAACTCCTTATATGGAAATGAAGGACTTCAATGAGGCTCTTTATGTTAATGTTAACCCAAGAAATCTCAAAGAAAAACTTTAGAAACTATATGTTAATTAACTAATATACGTAAATTATTAGTGAACTTATGAGAAAATTATGAGTTAATATGTTTATCCAATAGAACAATTATGAGTCTGCTCATTCAATAGAACAGTTATGGTTAAATATGTTCATCCAATAGAACAATTATGAGTGTGCTCATTCAATAGTTCAGTTATGGGTAAATATGTTCATTCAATAGAACAATGATGTTTTAATGTTATCAATATACAGGGTGTCCGGAAAGTAAAGATACAAATACTCTTATTTTAAGAAATTTGGGTGTTTTGAAATGAAATTGCTACAGATTGTAGAGAAACAATATTACAATATATCTACCAACTTTCATCACATATAGTCTAAATGTGTTTAAGTTACGGTTGTTATGGTTACGGATGTGAGGGGTATGCGGAGCAGTTCCAGAACAACGCTAAAAAGTGAAAAATCACTAAAAGACAACCATTTGAAACAGTGTTTTTTGTTGTATTTTCTATCTATATTTTGTTTTGTTAATCATTGTATTATTGCTGCCATAGTGTTTTCTTTTATATAATGATGTCATTGCTACATATCAGAACTATGTTATGTCACTAACCAGTATAATGAAAGAAATGTCATACAAGTGCCTAGAATAATGGTCCCTGGCCATTAGTAGGAAAGTCAATATTGCATCTGCACAATGCACCAATTCACAAAGCAAAAAACAAATCTTACAATGGAGTGTCTTGACTTTAAAACTTTCTATACAATGCCCCATATTCACCTGATAAAGCCTCTTTAGACTTCTACCTTAATGACCATTTGAAAGCAATATTTGTAAAAAGTTCAACATACAAATGAGACTCAGCTGGAAGCCAATGTTATCAGCAATCTGAGAGATGGACAGCAGCAGTTTTGTCAGGTCTTTGAATCGCCGGTCAAGATGCACCAAAAATGCATAGATAATGGGGGAAATACTGAATATTCAATGATAGTAGTAATATAAAATGATCAAATAATGTTCCAGTACTAATCCTTATGCTGTTGTGGTACATAATTTGATATAATATAGGAATAGATGGTGGAGTGCCAAGATCATATGAGCAGAAAAGAGATTTGGAGAACACAGTTGTGACGTTGCTCCACTTACCCTCGACTCTCGTTACCATAACAACCATAACTTTTTTATTTTGAAACTAAAAGTCATGACAGTTGTAGGATATATTCTTATAATGTCATTCCACAATCTGTAGTAATTTCATCTCATAGAAGGTAAATCTCTTGAAATGAGAGCGTTTGTATCTTTACTTTCTGGACACCCTGTATTGAACAATAATATGTGTGAACAATAAATATGTATAAACAATTGAAAAAATAAACATGTACCTTATAATATGTACATTTGCATTAATAGATACAATACATGTACATAGAAAATGAATGAATCCATATAATACAACAATGCATGTTCATATACAATAACATGTTCATGCAATAGTAAAATTATGTAAAGTAAGTGCTGGTCACACTATATAACTACATAATTAGTGTATTATATCATGTATTTGTGTTCATTGCTGCAAATGATAGAGACAGTAGTGAGAGTAACTTAAGAATATCAGTGTTATAGTTTGACAAAAATGTTATTAGGTCTTGACATTTACTCATGGAGTTTGGACAAAAAGTTGGAGGTTTTTGTTCTTCTAGTTTTGACTTGCCATTTCCATGTCCTCTTTATTTCTAAGAAATTGCAATACTTTTTATAAGGTTAACCTCACACATTTTACAGTCTCTATACTTTGCTGCAATATTAAGGAATTTCACATGATATAAAAATTGAAAGTATAGTAGAACCTGTATATCTGTGCACCCTTTAATATGAACACTTTCCTAGTCCAAATTTAGGTGTCACCAATTGGCTCACATATTAACATCTTAAAATGTGAACACCTGCTAATTCCAGCACATTTGGTTGATTCAAGTGGTGTTTAGATAAGACAGGTTTTACTGTATATTAGACGGGTAGGAAGGAGGGGTTCCCATGCACCCGAAAGATGTATTTTTTTAATGTACATTTTTGTAATCTTAAAGGTCCATACTAAAGATTTTTGCATGTTCCCAGAATGAAATATTGTCCCATGGTATCTATTGGCGGCCATCTTGTCGGCCATCTTGGATTTTTAAAAGAGTTGATGTTAATTATCTCAAAGTACAATAACTTTCAGAGTTTTGAGATTTGAAAGCTGTAAATGGTACCAAAATGAAGCTATTATAGTATCCTTTATTATCAGATGCAATAATTATGCAAATTGTCTCATTTGCATAAAATGTTACATCATCAATCATAATTCTTGCCTCTTTACAACGGTATCGCATTATACCTTTCTGCCTGAGTGATCAGTCTTAGTCATTCATTCACATAAATGAATTCAAATATATAGGTACATTAATTTTGAACATATTTGCAAAAACAAATTCGAAACTTTTGGAAAAACATTGTCAGACACATGATAATGTTACTGAAAAGAGGCGTGGCACTTCTTGTGAAAGAATTGATTTTAATTATCTTAAAGCATAATAACTTCCACAGTTTTGAGAGTTGAAAGCTGTAAGTGGTACCAAAATGAAGCTATTATAGTATCCCATATTATAAGATGTAATAATTATGCAAATAGTCTCATTTGCATAAAATGTGACATCATTAATCGTAATTTTTGCCTCTTTACAACAATATCGCACAATACCTTTCTGCCTGAGTGACCAGTCTTAGTCATCCATGAACATAAATGAATTTGAATATATAGGTACATTAATTTTGAACATATTTGCAATTGAAAGTTTTGGAAAAACATTGTCAGACACTAAGTTATAACACTTCACATGATTATGTTACTGAAAAGGGGCGTGGCACTTCTTGAGAAAGAGTTGATGTTAATCATTTCAAAGTACAATAACTTCCACAGTTTTGATAATTGAAAGCTGTAAGTGGAACAAAAATGGAGCTATTATAATACACTTATAAAAATGCAATAATTATACAAATTTTCCCATTTGCATAATATGTGACAACCTCTATTATTTTTGGCATTTTTCAATGGTAACGACCAATATCTCTCCCTCTGGGTAACAGTCTTGGTTATTCATGAGCATGTATGATTTTGAATATCTAGGTACATTAATTTTGAACATATATGCAATTGAAATTTTGGAAAAACTTTGTAAGAAATTAAGTGTTGACACTTCACATGATTATGTAACTGAAAGGGGGGGGGGCACTTTTGTTCAAAATGTTAACTTCTAAACACTAATATCAAATTCAAGAGCTGAAGCTCCTCTAGCAGAGTCATGTAGATAGAGCCCAATGTTGCTCATTGGTGAAATGTTGGCAAAATTTTGCATCTTGTATGCACTGCTCACAAGTACATGAAGTGTTCATTGTGATAGTGTAATTCCAATATGACAGCACAATACAAGTCAGGCTATTTCATTGTCACATATGCAAAAGTTGATCTGATGAGACATGTTAAAAGTGGTAGTGGTTAATAACGCCCAGATCAAATTAACACAAGATAGATACTGAAGGTAGGCCCAGATCAAAGTATGAGCATCCTTACCCTCAATCATGACGCCATCTGTATTGTCCATTTGTGGGAGCTGTAACCCAAATAATGAGTATTAATTTAATATATGTGTCATTAAGTTGCCATGCACTTGGAGCAGTTGGCGGTTTCTTCCTTGCCCCAAAGTCTGAGGTTTGATGGAGTTGAGACCAGGTCAGGGAAAGCTCTTAATAGGAAATTGAGCCTCCTTTGGTCCATGGTCATTCCGTTTCAAGAAGTGCTGAAGTGAGGGTTCCCAGGTAATGTCAGGTAATATAATGTCAGGTAATTCCCAGGTAATGTAAATCTGGAAAGGCCACTGAAATCGGGGAGTAATGTCATAACACCCTGATATATGACTTGAGTCAATGGCTCTAAGCCACTTGTCCAGGTCCCTTGACACTTCAGCTGTTTTGTTCAAACCACACATAGTTCTTCTCTAGACATTTGTTTCTTTATCTTGCCCTGTTGGTATTTGCTTGCCATTTATTTTGAACTGCATTGGAGAAAGCTTGCCATCAACCAAAACCATGATTCTTGACCTGGTTGGTTTTTAACTTCATGCAAGTCCAGCTTGCCATTCTTTCCATACCTAATAGAACCCATCTTGAACCCACTACTGAACTGGTCATAACTGTGATGTCATCCATGAAAGCTCTGTATGGTAAGTGTTTTGCACCTTCATTTGCTTTTGAAACCTTACACTGCATCATCCCTGCCTTGAGCAGTAAGTTCATTTATGTTACGAAGAGAACTACTGATACAGTGCAGTCTGCCACTATGCCTTTCTCTGAAGTCTGCTAATTAGTGGTATTATTGCCAAATGTATTGTGCAACTTCAAGGAGTTTGTGTGTCCCATTGTCAGATTGACTACATCTGTTGGATTTTGTAAGTGAAAGTTAACTTGTACCTCTAGTATCAGTTGGTGAGGGACACTAGGTAGACCTTAGGTCCAGCCAAACTACTTATTCTCTTTCTTGGCTTCCTTCACAAGTTGGCTTATTGCTGTTATATGCACCCTTGATGTCTTAGGATACCACTTTTCTGAATGCTTGGCAGGCCAGTAGGAAATAACTGCGATACTTGACCACAATGGCCCAGAAGATCTTTCCCTCAGCATCCGATAATGATGTCTACTTGAACTGGTTCAGTCCCTCAAATTTTAGCTTCTTTGGAATGAAGCAGCTTTCCGCCAAAGCCCAAGTCCTTGCTAGATTTTTCTTGTTCTGGAAGCTTGTTAACAATCACCATAGATGTATTAACAGCTTATGGCTGTTCTTATGCACCATGTATGCCTTCCTGATGATTGTTTTTACCTCATCAAGCTTGAAATCTGACTGGTCAAACGGTTTTGATGATAAATCTGGTGAGATGTAAATTGGGAAATTACTCGATGGCATATTTCGATCTGGGTCACTGTGTGCTGCCAAAGTATTTGCTTCTGCTTGATCCTGCGTATATGCCATACGGGCACTCTTTGGTTCCCTAACAAGTTTGATGTGAGCCTATAGAGATTTTCAAAGAATGTCTTCCTGGTCCTACGCTTCTCTTTAGATTTTCTCTAAGATGAAGTAATCTCTTAAGAAGCATCTGTTGGAGCTCTCTGATCTTTTTCACTTGCCAGTGTTGAAGCCGTCCACGAACACTGTGGGCTTCATCTCTCCTTCCGAAGAGAAGCTTTTGTCTTCTACTTGGCCCAACACAATGGTGTTTACAGATGTTTCCTCCACTCACTGTCCTCGCATCTGGGATGGAAGTTGTTCTAACTTGGACAAGAGGTAAGATAGTGAAGAGGCTGGGCTCTGCATCCCACTTCTATTGGGTGCATAACTGCATACCACCCTCTTGTCTTAGCCTCATCAAATAGTTCTTGGATTTTTAAGCTGATCAGATATTTTAATCGGTCAACTCTTCTGAAGGTACCATGAGCTCATTGAAGATGTTGGACCTCTGTGTTTTGACATCAGCACTGAGTTTCTGTAAGAAGTCAGCCGAGAGTCCAGTCGGATGTCTTGGATAAAACACTGAACTGAGGTAGAGGCTTAATACATATTGAGTTAATTATGTAGCTTTAACAACTAAATACTGTGGGTACCCATGTCAGTCCATTGCCTATCCTAAAATGATATGAGGATATGTGGTAATTCGTATCTGTATAGTACTTAGTCCAAAAGCGATACAGATTATATATCTTTGGCTGAAATTTAAATGTCTGCCAAACAGACCAACAAGAATTTCTGAACAAGCTAGGAATAAGGAACATCACTGGGCTACTTTCTAAAAGTCAAAAGCTATATTTTACACCCGAGGGATTCACTCTATATAAACCTTGACAGGGGGTTCCTCTTTTAACATTTGGTATGGCAATGGATCCAAATTTTGGGATCTGGAATGAGAATGCCCCCATTTAATTATGACTTTTGAGGTATGACAATGGTCGGATTTTTCTACTTTGTGGTACAAGAATGGTCATAGAGAATATGTTACCTCTCACTTGTGGTATAGGATTGGTCTAGTTTTTACAAATGTCCTTAATTTGAGGTTGTTTTCATTTTCATAAAAGTTCTGCTTCTTCCAGGGGCTTTAGACATTTTGCATTCCAATGGTCTTATATTTTTGGGATATTTGGTATGGCATTAGTCCTATATTTGGACATTTGGTATAGCATTGGTCTTATATTTGGATATTTGGTATGGCTTTTGGGCATTATTTTGGTTGGTATGTGAACACATTGAAATTTGACAGATTGGTATGGGAACATAATGATTATGGGAACATAATGATATCTTAGGGTTCAGCCTAGGACAACTACAGAATAGTGTATTCAGTGAACCCCTGGGTATTTTACAGATGATAAATCGACTATATAATAACATTACGGATTTTCACGCCCCTTTTCAGAACAATAATCATTTGAAAGGCCATACCTTGATTTCTGACAATGTTTTTCTAAAACTTTCAATGCAAATATGTTCAAGCTTTCAATTGCAAATATGTTCAAAATGAATGTATACATTTAATATCTTTTATATTCATGAGAGACCAAGACTGGTCACTCAGAGGGAAATGCAATATGTATTACCGTTGAAAAGGGGCAAAAATAATGATTGATGATTTACATAATTATTGTATCTTATAATGTGGGATATTGTGATACCTTCAGTTTGGTACCACTTACAGCTTTCAACTCTCAAAACTGTGGAAGTTATTGTACTTTGAAATGATTAACATCAATTCTTTCACAAGAAGTGCCACGCCCCTTTTCAGTAACATAATCATGTGTCTGACAATGTTTTTCCAAAACTTTTGATTGCAAATATGTTCAAAATTAATGTACCTATATATTTAAAATCATTAATGTTCATGAATGACTAAGACTGATCACTCAGACAGAAAGGTATAATGCAATACCATTGTAAAGAGGCAAGAATTATGATTGATGACGTCACATTTTATGCAAATGAGACAATTTGCATAATTATTGCATCTGATAATATAGGGTACTATAATAGCTTCATTTTGGTACCACTTACAGCTTTCAATTCTCAAAACTGTGGAAGTTATTATACTTTGAGATGATTAACATCAACTCTTTCAAAAATTCAAGATGGCCGACAAGATGGCCGCCAATGGATACCATGGGACAATATTTCATTCTGGGAACATGCAAAAATCTTTAGTATGGACCTTTAGGATTACAAAAATGTCCATTAAAAAAATACATCTTTCGGGTGCATGGGGACCATACCTTCCTACTAGACTATATGATTTTGAGGGAGAACCTCATTTTGTTTATTATGTCACCAACACAAGTGGAGACATATTGTTATACAGGGTGTCCCGAAAGTATGCCCCCCCTAAGCAGATGTATACCAATGTCCTCATAGTATGTGTCATACATATTTTAAAGCTCATCCAAAGGTACATTGATGTGCCGAGTATCATGGTTCAACTCACAAATGGAAAAAAAGTTACAGGCATTTCAAAACTTGTGTTTGGCTAAAAATATAGTTCATTTCAGTACCCAGAAACAGCCCTGGGTAGAATGTGACCGAAAATATGGGTGCTTTTGTCGAAGATAGGATGGGTATTGAGTTCTAAAAAGAGGATGTTGAGGGTAGATACTCGAAGACAAGTCTTCTAGAATACCTTAAAAAGGTTTTATGAGGATTACAAAATGACACATCGTATTTAAAGCGTGTTTAAGGTCATATATGGAAAGCATTGCTGCTGTTAATATGGTGGCTAGGGAGACACACCGACATTAATTTTGGTGTAAACTGAATTTAATTTTGGCCAAACACTAAATATTGAAATGCCTGTAACTTTTTCCCATTTGTGATTTGAACCATGATACTTGGAAAATCAATGTTACTTTGAATGGGCTTTAAGATGATATATGACACATACAATGTACACAATGGTATATGTCTGCCTAGGGGGGGGGATACTTTCGAGACACCCTGTTGTTTCCAATTTTTTGTGGATGGTGTTCGGTAGTTGGTCTTCAGCCGTTGGTGTTTGTAACAATGGTGACATGTTGCATGTTTATGCCTTGTTTTTGTGTTATAACAGTATATTTTGGGGGAATTATTTCCACTATTTACACTATAAATTTTGGTGGATGCACTAGAGTTAATTGTTTATGTTAATAAAGTAAATTTGATTTTATGAAATATATTGTCATGTAAAAAGGACGACCTTCATTTAGTTTGTTTAGTCATATTTGAGAGAATCAATGTTGTGTTATAAGGGGAGGCATCAAAAGTTCAATGTCTGTAGGAGACTAAATAAATCTAGTTTTGAGTTTAACCCTCCCCAAGAAACTAAATACAATGAATTTTAAACCAGCAAAGGCATTCTGAGTCAAAATTGCAAAAACATTGAAAGTCGGATAACAAACTGAAATGACTTTGACCCCCCACCCCAACTAGATTTATTAAGTTTCCTATCAGACATTGAACTTTTGATGCCTCCCCTAAAGCCTATGCTTGCGTCAAATCTCTGATTGATCACTGAAGAATAGGATTTTTAATTTTTGCACAGATGGTTTAATAACCTAGGTTATCCATTTATTTCTAGTTTTGATCTTCTATAAAGCTGTTTGTACGTTTTAGTTTAACAGAAACTTGTGAGAATTGTTTTACACCCAAATAACATCAAATATGTATGACTTAACAGTGTCTTTCAAACTCATTTTAGACAGATGTTCAATACCTCATTGTTCTGATTCACGACCTGCTTCAGGTGCCCATAACACGGAATTCTATGGCAACCGTAACTCTGACATAAAGTAATATATGTGCCCCAGTTTTTGTTGCAATAATAATACATATTTGGTGATACTACGTATCAAATTTGGTGCTCTAACTCCAATTAGTGTTTGAGATAGGGCTCTATTTGCATTATTTGTTGATCGCCCCTTGTATCTTGTTAATATGTGGTATAGTGCAGCGAAAATGCAATCATCAAGTTTAATTCATTGAATCCATCCAAATAATTAAGAATAAGATGTAAAAGTTAAAGATCATATACTTCAATTCTAGCATATTGCTCTCTTCATATCATTGAAAATTTTCTCAAGGGGTTAAGGTCCATAATCAACAAAATTAGTTATTGAACAAGGAAGTTAAAAATGTTATGTTCAAGCAAATGTAGATTTTCTAATATCATACTTACACAATACAAGCTCAATTCTAAACTAATGGAAACATATACTAGCATAGTTGGAACATTTAGAAAATGAAGGAATACACAACCTTCTGGATTGTTATCATTTTGATGTTCTCCAGTACAGGTAAGATATGATGAATATATATTTGTGTTAACGTTCACAAACAATGGACTTAGCTTAACAATGATTTCTCTACGTTTACAACAAGGAAGTAATGAATTAATAGTTGAATGTTTTAATATGGGATCACTCCAGACGGGAAGGGCGATGTACTTAAAAAATCAAGTTGTCCCTTTACACTTTACAAACATAAAGTATAATATGTGTAAATGAATCTTTCAGCAACTGGTCAAGGTGATTTAGTCCTGATAGAAGGTCCACAGGACAGGGCTGTGTTATCTTGGCAGAATGCTGAGTTGACTTGTCATATTGACACTATTGCATCTGGGGCTAATCATGTTGTGCAGTGGATAGGAAACTCTATCAGAACAGGAGCTGGTAGACCAATATCATTTAATGAAAGGATTACGTTGACTGACATACCAGACAAATTCTCTATAAGTACAGAGAAACCATACAATCTGGTTTTACAGACCACTGATTTGGATGATGCTGGGAAGTACCCTTGTAATAATGTACTAAAGGGACAACCTATAGGTGACATAGAGCCTCAGTTGGTTGTGCTTGGTAAGTTGGTGTTAATTGATGAACTAGTCAGAGTTCTGTTTTGAACAAAAAGTCAAGCATTTCTTCTAAATTACAAACTTCTTCATGTTATATGTATTAAAAAATTGACACGTGACTTAACCCACCTGTGCGAAATGGCACAATTCTGATTTTAAAACAGAATAACCTAAGGGAAACAGACAAACCATGGTATAAGCCTATGTACATGTTCTCCGTTGTGCCGGTGTGAAAGAAATTATGGTCCCCCAGGGATTATGGTCCCCCCTTTTAAAGGCCCTTTCTGGCCCTGATTGTGTATAAGATAATGAGGGGAAAAGGTGTATTTAGGTCACCATATAAATCAATTGAGAGTAGGACCATAATTTGATAGGACCTCATACCCTTTTACACCTGCTGTTGTATGCATTCCAGATATTGCGCAAATGCTTATTAAAAAAGTCAAAAATCAAATGGAAATAGTGAAAAAATAAACCGACATTTCTGGATCCTGTATCATGCACTATGTCAGGAACTACGAGATCTGCTAATGAAATTGATACCATGATGATCACAATTGAGTGGTCTTTATTGTTTTACATTATATTTCCAGAACCCGCATCATGCCCTATGTCAGGAACTACGACATTTATTCAGAATGATACCATTACATTTGCGTGGTCTGTCACATATGCAGGAGAGAGATATGATAGCCAGAAACCCACTATTACTTGGTCACTTAATGGCATTGATCAAACTGCAATAGCAGACGAGACGATACCAGGGGTCTTCAAGTCAATGTTTTCTAAAGGAGCATCTAGTGTTGATAACCAGAGGGAACTCAATTGCTCATTCACAGTACTGAATATCCAACAACATTGTTCCACTAGGCTCAATATACGACGTAGGTTTTCTAATTAAGTATTTTATTTTATATATAATTAAAGTAACTAAAACAGCTTAGATATAATCTCGAAGAGATCTTTACTGGTACACAATTCTCTTTCTATAGTAGAGGGTCAAAAGAAATAAAAATCTAGCAAATACAATACAATATAAAATATTGCAAATTATAACACCATGGACGTGAAGAAATGTGAATTTTCATTAGTGCTTTCTTTTAGATCCAGCACGAAAGCCGACACTCTTTGTCGATGGCAACAATATTCTAGACCAAGCAATATTACAACGCACAATGGGTGCAAATGTACAACTAAAAGGAGAGTCATTAGCAAACCCTACCCCAACGTTCATATGGCAGTTTAGAACAACAGATGATCCCAACTTTGGTACTGAGGAATTTGGAGACACAAAACAAATCAACAACATACAATTCAACCAGGCAGGGGTATACAGATGCTGTGCCAGCAATAACTTGAATGGTTATAGGGAATGTAGTGAATTGACAATCAATGTTGTTGGTATGCATTTTTACTTTGTTTAGCAACATTAAGTCCACACCTAACAGATGTTTTTCATCGTACCTTAAAAAGTCATGATATTGTCGTCAGCTTTCTTGTCATTACGATTCCAGACAATCTACTGAACTGATTTACTTCAAATTTTTACACCCGTTACATGGTAAGAATTTCTAGAACTGATGAACTTTTAGGGCCATCTTATTTTCTTGGTTATCAAGCGAGGTACGATATTATCCATCCTGTGCCTTGTCTATACTAAGGTTTCATATGTAATATCCTTTGTAAACATACATTTAGTATGAATGCATTAATACAATGTGTAATATACAGGGTGTCCCGAAAGTATGCCCCCCCCTAGGCAGACATATACCAGTGTCGTCATAGTATGTGTCATATATCATTTTAAAGCTTATCCAAAGTTACATTGATTTGCCAAGTATCTTGGTTTAACTCCCAAATGGGAAAAAGTTACAGTCATTTTGAAAGTTAGTGTTTTGTCAAAATAAAGTTCAATTTTACACCACATTACTAGTCAATGTGTCCCCCTTGGCCAGGTTAACAGCAGCAATTATTTTCAGATATGACCTTAAAAGCCCTTCAAATAGGGGTGTGGAATTTTATAACCCTCTTAAAACCTGTCAAGGGACTTAAGAAGAGTTTCTACCCTCACCATTCTCTTTTTCCAACTAAATACCCATCCGACCTGAAAAGAATTGCTGCTGCTAAGATTGCCCGGTAGGACACATTGACTAGTGATTTGGTGTAAAATTGAACTTAATTTTGACCAAACACTAAATTTTGAAATGCCTGTAATTTTTCACATTTGAGAGTTGAACCATGATACTTGGCGAATCAATGTAACTTTGGATAAGCTTTAAAATGATATATGACACATACATGATGACACTGGTATATGTGGGACACCCTGTACTTTGTAATTAAGTATACAGTTCGCATTTTTGGCAGCAATCGATTTAAATTGAATATGTGAGAATATGAAATTTTCATTTAGCAACAACGACGACACCAAAGACAACACCAGTGTCTTCTTCAACGACAATTGCAACAACAGTTACGCCTTTCAACTGCTCCAGTCCAGTTATTCCAGCAAGTAAGTATTCTTAATCATCTAAATTGTTCAGTACCTGCAGATAAAAATGCTGTAGCCTTTTCTGGTTCATTACTCGACTATGTCTTGATCGTAGAAAATCAAATCAAGGTCTCCAAAGATCTTCAAAGTCTTAAAAATGTATATCAGTAAGCAACTTGCACAATTCTCTACATATTTTATATCATATAGAAGATTTAGATAATTCATTAAATGAAAAATTATTAGAACTAATGAGTCATTTTGTGAATCAACGTTTGAGCCAAATTGATCGGTTTGGCTAAATTTTGCATGCATGTGTTAACTCATCCCTGGCCCATGGGATTATAGTTTCTTATATGAGTGATAACATTACTTTGGTAAATTTTAAAATCTTAATGTATTCCTATTCGCGTTGTCTAAAATTGCCGCTAATGTGTTTTTTTTATAAAACTTTGGCAATCAATTGCATGTCTATGATTGTTTACTAAAGGAATAAATCTATGTATAAAAAAATATATTGTATATCAGAATCACGAATCAATGACATGCAACCTAAATATGAATCAGAATTGATTCAGAGACCACACCAAACCAAAAACATTTCAACCAATGGAGGCAATTTGCATTTATCCCAACGAACGAAGTTCGGTAGGGATATAGTGAAGCCCTCCGTCCGTCCGACAGTCAGTCAGTCCTACCGTCCGTCCGTCCGTCCGGAAAATAACGGGACTTTTTCATTCTAAACCAAAGAAATTTATATTATTGTTTGAAATTTTGGTAGTATATTCACAACATCTATCTATTTCACATATATTCCGTGTTTTTCATCCTGACCCCCAGGGGAAAACAGAAATTTTCGCTAATTTTTAGATCTTTCTGAAGCATAGCTTTATTATACTCAAATGAAAGGCAATTAAGAGTAGATTGCAAATATTGTATCTTTTTCTGATTCGAGCCTCGTAAAATTCAAAATGGCCGTCTAATGTACGATTTTGCAATAATTGTTCGATCCCTTCAAAGTACAGCTATATTATACTCAAATTGAAGGAATTTTGGAGTAGATCACAGTTAAATTCATATGGCTGCTTTGCAGGAATTCGCAATTCTAAAATCTAAATTTATCAATTTTAACCAAAGTAATGAAAATAATTGATTGGAATTCGGTAATTGATATTTTGTTTGTTGGGATTTGCTACTCTGCGGAGTTGCCGTTATCTAGTTCCTTTATATAATAATTTTATTGTTTCGACAGGTAGTTCAACGGGAAATATCGTCGGGGGAGTTCTTGGTTCACTGTTTGCCATTGGCATCATCGCTGCTCTTGCATTCTTTGTCTTCAAGCTGAACAATGAAGTCAAACAATTGAAGAAAGAAAACTCTCTATTACTATTCCAATATAAAAGAGTATTTTATGTTGTTTTCATAGGTAGTTCAACGGGAAATATCGTCGGAGGAGTTCTTGGTTCACTGTTTGCCATTGGCATCATTGCTGTTCTTGCATTCTTCGTCTTCAAGCTGAACAATGAAAACAAAAAATTGAAAGAAGAAAACTCACTATTACAAAAAGATTCAAATCGGTATAGGTAAAAACTGCAGTCAGTTGAAAAATCACACGATCTTCACCTTATATAATCTAAGCATTACTTTCATAAAGCAACCAATTTTATTAAGATAGAATGCTTCACTCCCCATTCCTGAAACAGTACCTCGCCTGATTGAACTGGATGGATATATAAGATAAACAATGCAAATTATTCTCAATGCATTATTATATTGTATATGTCGACTGCAAGTATATTTATATCTATTTATCGTCATTCATTCTTTCATTGTTGTTTTCATTGTTTTGAAGCACTGGTCCAAGTAGCGAGGTAAATGTTGCCTTTCAACAAAGTCAAAGCGTTCCATATGAAGAAGTTGACTTTAAAACAAACACGTACGCTCGGCTAAACAAAGATGATGTTAGCGTTCACATTGTAAGTTTAATTGTCAAATAAAATTGCAGTCTCTAATCACATGTTAAAAATGGATTTCAAATTTCAAATACCACTACTTGTGTGATTTAGCCAAACGCATGTGACAACGAATACCCAAAGGAAGTAATTGAAATCAGGGCCACATTAGATGCTGGTGAATTTGGTGTTGTAAAACTAGTGAATGTTTCAAATATCACTGTTTGTATGATTTAGCCAAACACATCTGACAAAGAATATCCAATGGAAGTAATTGATATCGGGGCCACATTAGGTGCTGGTGAATTTGGTGTTGTAAAACTAGTGAATGTTTCAAATATCACTGTTTGTATGATTCAGGCAAACACATCTGACAAAGAATATCCAATGGAAGTAATTGATATCTGGGCCACACTAGGTGCAGGTGAATTTGGTGTTGTAAAACTCGTGAATGTCAATTACAATGTGAATGCCCCATTTATGGCCGCTGCGAAGATATTAAAGGGTAAGTAAAAATGCTTGGTACCATTTCCGAATGCTTGATTTTGCCACGATTTCGTAGGATGTAGGCAAAATCTTCCCCACCATCATTCTGGCGTCTCGTGAGTCATTCGTTCGCAAACAAATATATTTTCCTCAACATATGACGACGTGAACCAATGTGCTAAAAATGTCGTGAAGATTTCGTTTGCATCTCCTGGAATCATGGAAAATGAAAAACCGTACCTCCGTCCGAGGCTGTGACATTTTATTACCAATTTGAAAACACAGTGTATATAAAGGAATTGTGTCTCAATATGCATTAAGAATAAAGTTTATGGTCATTTTTCATCTTAATTTGGTATATTATTGCAGACAATGCATCAGATGACGACCACGAGGCCCTGCTTTGTAAATTGGATCTGATGAAACAGTTACCAAAACATAGCAGTACGGCATAGTTTTCATGTCCATTTTATTGTTAACTTTGGTATATCTTGTTGCAGATAATGCATCTGATGACGACCACCGGGCTCTGCTTCGTGAATTGGATCTGATGAAGCAGTTACCAAAACATAACAATGTGGTAGAACTTCTGGGTTACTCGAAATACAATGGTACGATATTTAATGCATACTGTATATATCAATAGCTTCAAGGCAGGTTTCATCCATCCTCTGAACGCAGGGGTTCAGACATCATGTTCTACGTTCCTTCATTGTTTCGGAAATAGCGACTTCTGGAGGCATGTGTTCGGAGGGTGGATTTCATAAGAGTTATTGGACATCTGGTAAAGATAAATAATGAGATATGTTGATATTGTTGAACAGATTTTTTTTACTTATGTAGTATTAAAATGTTTAAACAAATCAAGGTGAATTTCATGTTGATTATCAATTATATCAATTATTTATTTATCCTTAGTAGTAATTGATTATAATCCATTAATATTGTCAATACCATATTCCAATATAATACAGAGTGGTAAAAAAAATGGAAACCCGTACACCATTTTCCTCATATATTTGTCATTTTAATAAATAACTCCCTGATATTTTGCACATTTGTACATCATTCAATTTCCTACCAGCCTACTCTATTTCATGACCATCAGATTGATAGTCACAATGTTACAGCACTTTACAGAACATGCCCTAGTGGCCAATATTGCGCTGTCGGGTCGCCTGCACTCGCCGTCCAAAATGTCCCTACCTGTAGGGATATGGCAAGGAAAAAGTGTATGAGAATGACCTCAGGACAATCACAAACCTCAAAAGTGAGATCATCCGTATCATTCAGGCCATACCTGCTGAGGAATGCATTCGGCCCATTGATAACTGTGCAGGTTTGCCTACAGCGTGATGATGGCCAAACTTGAAGCATGTTATTCAAAGTACTGTAAAATTGTCACTATCAGTCTGATGGTCATGAAATTTAGTAGGGTGGTAGGAAATTGAATGATGTACAAATATGTGAAATATCAGGGAGTAAATCTCTAAAATGACAAAGATATTAGGAAAATGCAGGGTTTCCCTTTTTTGACCACCCTGTAATACAGCGCTACTTTATATATAACTATTTACTATAAACATTTTTGATCATATCGTATCATGTTTATATTTATAGACCAAACTATGATACTCGTTGAGTATCTACCCTTGGGAGACCTGCAAAGCTACTTGAGAGCCAACAAAGCAAAATACATCAGGTCTGATAAGTTGGACACCAGTAAAGAATTGATACAGTTTGGATATCAGATTGCGTGTGGAATGAACCATATATCATCTTTCAAAGCAAGTGATTTTCTTAGTTCCTGTATAAATTGATAATTTACGATGGTTTTACTTGGGTTAATGTCTAGTGTTTGAGCATGTATGCTTGATAAAGAGGTACATGCATTGAAAGTTATTTACGTCATTATGTCCAACATAGGTGATACCATGCGAAGTTTCAAATGTACGTATCTTATATACTTTGTAATACGTATAGCCCTTCAGAAGCTCCACACAAATAGGCCTTTATTTATTTCTAGTTTCTGCACCGTGACCTTGCAGCCAGGAATATCTTACTGGGTGCAAATAAAGTTTGCAAGATCTCTGATTTTGGTCTCTCGAGGGATGTTGCTGAAAGAGATCTGTACAGTAGAACGTCACAAGTAAGTCATTTAGTTGTTTGAATCATTAAACCCGAACTGTTTTTGTATGATTTTGTGTTTTTCTGTTGTCACACATTCTATACCCAGAATGCATGAAATCCAACATATAATGTCAGATTATACACAATATAATTTCACATCTTATGGCTGTCTTCCAATAAGATGGATGTCTCCTGAAGCTCTTTTCCATAATATCTACACAACCAAGAAATATGTATGGGCCTATGGTATACTCCTCTGGGAAATACTAACATTTGAATATGCTTAATATTGTAGGGCCATCTTCCCATTAGATGGTTGTCTCCTGAAGCTCTTTTCCAGAATATCTACACAACAAAGAATGATGTATGGGCCTATGGTATAATCCTCTTGGAAATACTAACATTTGAATATGCATCATATTGTAGGGCCGTCTTCCTATTCGATGGATGTCTCCAGAAGCTCTTTTCCACAATATCTACACAACCAAGAATGATGTATGGGCCTATTGTATACTGCTTTGGGAAATACTAACATTTTAATATGCATCATATTGTAGGGCCGTCTTCCAATAAGATGGATGTCTGCTGAAGTTCTGTTCAACAATATCTACACAACCAAGAATGATGTATGGGCCTATGGTATACTCCTCTGGGAAATACTAACATTTGAATATGCATCATATTGTAGGGCCGTCTTCCAATTAGATGGATGTCTCCAGAAGCTCTTTTCCACAATATCTACACAACCAAGAATGATGTATGGGCCTTTGGTATTCTCCTCTGGGAAATACTAACATTTGAATATGCATCATATTGTAGGGCTGTCTTCCAATAAGATGGATGTCTCCGGAAGCTCTTTTCCACAAAATCTACACAACCAAGAATGATGTATGGGCCTATGGTATACTCCTCTGGGAAATACTTATGTTTGAATATGCATCATATTGTAGGGCCGTCTTCCCATTAGATGGTTGTCTCCTGAAGCTCTTTTCCACAATATCTACACAACCAAGAATGATGTATGGGCCTATGGTATTACTCATCTCGGAAATACTAACATTTGAATATGCTTCATATTGCCGTCATCCCATTAGATGCATGTCTCCTGAAGCTCTTTTCCACAATATCTACACAACCAAGAATGATGTATGGGCCTATGGTATACTCCTCTAGGAAATACTAACATTTGAATATGCATCATATTGTAGGGCCGTCTTCCTATTCGATGGATGTCTCCAGAAGCTCTTTTCCACAATATCTACACAACCAAGAATGATGTATGGGCCTATGGTATACTCCTCTGGGAAATACTAACATATGAATATGCATCATATTGTAGGGCCGTCTTCCAATTAGATGGATGTCTCCTGAAGCTCTTTTCCACAATATCTACACAACCAAGAATGATGTATGGGCCTATGGTATACTCCTCTGGGAAATACTAACATATGAATATGCATCATATTGTAGGGCCGTCTTCCAATTAGATGGATGTCTCCCGAAGCTCTTTTCCACAATATCTACACAACCAAGAATGATGCATGGGCCTATGGTATACTCCTCTGGGAAATAATAACATTTGAATATGCATCATATTGTAGGGCCATCTTCCAATAAGATGGATCTCTCCTGAAGCCTTTTTCCACAATATCTACACAACAAAGAATGATGTATTGGCCTATGGTATACTCCTCTGGGAAATACTTACATTTGAATATGGTATACTCCTCTGGGAAATATTAACATTTGAATATGCATCATATTGTAGGGCCGTCTTCCAATTATATGGATGTCTCCTGAAGCTCTTTTCCACAATATCTACACAACCAAGAATGATGTATTGGCCTATGGTATACTCCTTTGGGAAATACTAACATTTGAATATGCATCATATTGTAGGGCCGTCTTCCTATTCGATGGATGTCTCCAGAAGCTCTTTTCCACAATATCTACACAACCAAGAATGATGTATGGGCCTATGGTATACTCCTCTGGGAAATACTAACATATGAATATGCATCATATTGTAGGGCCGTCTTCCAATTAGATGGATGTCTCCTGAAGCTCTTTTCCACAATATCTACACAACAAAGAATGATGTATTGGCCTATGGTATACTCCTCTGGGAAATACTTACATTTGAATATGGTATACTCCTCTGGGAAATATTAACATTTGAATATGCATCATATTGTAGGGCCGTCTTCCAATTAGATGGATGTTTCCTGAAGCTCTTTTCCACAATATCTACACAACAAAGAATGATGTATGGGCCTATGGTATACTCCTCTGGGAAATGTTAACATTTGAATGTACATCATATTGTAGGGCCGTCTTCCCATTAGATGGTTGTCTCCTGAAGTTCTTTTCCACAATATCTACACAACAAAGAATGATGTATGGGCCAATGGTATACTCCTCTGGGAAATACTAACATTTGAGTATGCATCATATTGTAGGGCCGTCTTCCAATTAGATGGACGTCTCCTGAAGCTCTGTTCCACAATATCTACACAACCAAGAATGATGTATGGGCCTATGGTATACTCCTCTGGGAAATAATAACATTTGAATATGCATCATATTGTAGGGCCGTCTTCCAATTAGATGGATGTCTCCTGAAGCTCTTTTCCACAATATCTACACAACCAAGAATGATGTATGGGCCTATGGTATACTCCTCTGGGAAATAATAACATTTGAATATGCATCATATTGTAGGGCCGTCTTCCAATTAGATGGATGTCTCCTGAAGCTCTGTTCCACAATATCTACACAACCAAGAATGATGTGTGGGCCTATGGTATACTCCTCTTGGAAATACTAACATTTGAATATGCATCATATTGTAGGGCCGTCTTCCAATTAGATGGATGTCTCCTGAAGCTCTGTTCCACAATATCTACACAACCAAGAATGATGTATGGGCCTATGGTATACTCCTCTGGGAAATACTTACATTTGAATGTACATCATATTGTAGGGCCGTCTTCCAATTAGATGGATGCCTCCTGAAGTTCTGTTCCACAATATCTACACAACCAAGAATGATGTATGGGCCTATGGTATACTCCTCTGGGAAATACTTACATTTGAATGTACATCATATTGTAGGGCCGTCTTCCAATTAGATGGATGCCTCCTGAAGCTCTGTTCCACAATATCTACACAACCAAGAATGATGTATGGGCCTATGGTATACTCCTCTGGGAAATACTTACATTTGAATGTACATCATATTGTAGGGCCGTCTTCCAATTAGATGGATGCCTCCTGAAGTTCTGTTCCACAATATCTACACAACCAAGAATGATGTATGGGCCTATGGTATACTCCTCTGGGAAATACTTACATTTGAATGTACATCATATTGTAGGGCCGTCTTCCAATTAGATGGATGCCTCCTGAAGTTCTGTTCCACAATATCTACACAACCAAGAATGATGTATGGGCCTATGGTATACTCCTCTTGGAGATACTTACATTTGAATATGCATCATATTGTAGGGCCGTCTTCCAATCAGATGGATGTCTCCAGAAGCTCTTTTCCACAATATCTACACAACCAAGAATGATGTATGGGCCTATGGTATACTGCTCTGGGAAATACTAACATTTGGTAATAGTTTCTCACTTAATATAAGTTTATTAAATTACAATAATTCTGTACAGTGTAAAATGTTGGAAACAATGCTTAATGAGCATGCCAATGTCTCCATAAAAACCTTTACACTCTCTGAGTGAGCTATAGATTTTGCGCTATCTAATCGAATATGAAATCTAATCTAATATTTTGAAATATGGCATTTTCTGACGTAAACTCAGAACTCTTGCCTGGCAGGACTCTGAAAAGCGTTACAAATTACTGGGAACAAACAAAACATTGTATAACAGTGACAATTTTCTAAAAGATTACCGATGCTATCTCTATACTTAGTGGCCAGTTTATTACTTTTTTTAGTGACATAATAGTAATTGGCATTCTGACAAGTAGATCACATCCCAGATGGGTGCGTCCCACAGCCAAAGAATTGATATTTATATGCTGTTCATATTGTCAATCTTCAACTAGGTTCAACGCCTTATACTGGGATGAAAGGCAAGGAGGTCATGGAATTTGTGAAAGCTGGGAATGTGATGGACAAGCCACAACATTGTAAAGTAACACTGTATGTTTTAATTCGGAGCTCCTAATATTCTTACTCAGATCTGCCTGTGAGAAAGTATCAAAAAAATGAAACCAACACTTGAATAATTATGTAAAATATTAATTACATAGAATAGTACAATAATGTCATTTCTAAGGGCAATATAGTGAGATATTGGACCGAGGGCCGAAGGCCCAAGGTCCAATATTTCACTATATTGCTCGCAGAAATGACGTTATTAGTATTATTACCACCGTTAACGACCAGGACTGAAACAGCAAGAAAATCTTACGCATTGAATGATATCTAATTTCCCGGGGGAAATTGCCGGTCCAGAATATATTCTAGACCGGTCCATATGGACCACCACTATGACGTCACACATTTCTCAGGTCGATATAGTAAAATGAACGCCTTCTAAACTAGCAATAAAACCCCTAGAACTGGCCCGGCAAGGTGGTAATAATATGTTATTAAAGTATTAGCAAGGCTAGAGTAATTAGTAGATGTCCATATTGATTTTGAAAAATGAAGCAATGTCGTTTGGAACTGGGAAAAATTCACATTGAATACTGTGGATATGCATTACTGAATTTTTTCATTATTTCTTATTATTGAATATTATGTATACGTTAACTATTTTGGTGATTTGTATTAAAAAAATTAATTTGCAGATATAATGTGATGGCAGAATGTTGGAGCCATGATTCGGGTAGACGACCAACATTCTCAGATCTCATGTCCAAAATGGAGAACATCTTACAGGAAGAAACTCCTTATTTGGCAATGAATGACTTTAATGAGGCTCTTTATGCTTATATTAACCCAAGGAATCTCAAAGAAAAACTTTAGAAACTATAAGTTGATTAACTTAAATAACTTCACTCTACTATACCCATTTGGCTTATTAGTAATGATTATGTATTTGTTTTTATTTGTCTGTTCCTTATGAATGGTTTATCGGTTGAAAGTTGAAGATGTTAGTAAGGCACTTTCAAAAATATATTAAACAATTCAATTAGACAAACAAAGTATCTTATGCATTTCTAGGTGTTAGGTATAGTAGAGTGACGTATACATTGTACAGCAGTAGCCGTGACAGGTACGGCAACCTGCCTTTTGTCTTGACCTAAAATCTGTAAATGGATTAATCCATGACCCTTCAAAAATTCAGGAATTAAACTAAAACTGATTCCGACTTCCAGAATATTTTAATATATCCATTTCTTGTTAGTTTTCTGCAATGTTAACTTCATGTGTCGGTAAAGCTGCACACTTTGATTGATTATTGTTCGTGTATTTTGATCTTGAAAACTTTGCCAAAAGGCTGAAGATTCGCACATAATGCAATAATGCATTTACTGTTTATTTTAGTTTACTGTTGATTTTAGTTGAACAATCCGGTATTATGTGTAAGTAATATTTGTGAATTGTATCTTTGTTCAGGATTTAACGAAGATGCATAGATATTCGATGCTTATTGTTCGTGTTTTCTGTTGATAGATTGAGTCATTTTCATGA